TATTATTGAACTTAATGCATTGGAAGCCTGATCATCTTTTAATTGATTTAGTGATTTATGCATGAACTTGAGAAAGAATTGCGTAGATTTGACCAATAATAATATAAACCGTGTGCTAGACTATGAGACCGAGAGGTAATTAGCTCACATGTGGTAGTGGAGGAAGAGAAGAGAGTTAGTAGCTCCCCCTTCTTAAGCTAGAGGTTTCCATAGAATCTAATGCTCATTAGTTTGTTTAAAATTATATAGAGATATGATTAATTTAACAAACCAGTGAAGGATTAACTTTACTTGAGAAAACTAGTTAATTAATTTAGGGAAATCCGCCATCACATGCAATAACACTCAACAATTTGGTAATTCAGAATTTATATTGATTGATTATAGTGAAGTCAATGCCCTAGTACCTGATATCTTGGTTAGGTTTAATTTAATTGTTATTTTCTTTTTATTATTCTTTTAGTTAAACTTTCTTCCCATTTAATTATTCAAATAAATTTGGATTAATTATTTTGGTACTTAGTTAGACACAATTCTCGTGGGTTCGACACTCTTCTCATCATTATATTACTTGAAGCGACTAGTACACTTGCTAGGATGATTTTAGTGCATCAAGTTTTTGGCGCCGTTGCCGGGGATTGTTGATTTAATTAATATCAGAGTTGATTAATTCTAGATTTAATTTGAACGTTTTCTTTTCTTTTATATCTTTACTTTGATTTTTTTTTTTTTCTGTTTTCTTTGTTTTTGTTTTTACAGGTCTAACCATGAATCGAGTTGCCATAGGTACTTATGTGAGTTATCATTGGCTTGCGCCAGAGATAAGAGCACAAGTTGAAGCAATAACTATCAATTGGGATGTAGAACTTGACAATGATGAACTTGAACGAATTCAAGCAGTCATTGAAAGGATCGAATTAAGGAAGGCTTGAATAGAACGATCAAATATCACTTGTGAATGGTGTGGATTAGACCATTTTAGTTCTGATTGTTTATTTAAACGATATAACAAGTGTGTTGATTTTTCTTGTGAGTTTTATAGTCAGCAATATAATTCTTATCCCAATACATGCCATTTTGATCCAAACACCTCATGGAATAATGAAGATATATTGGAGCCACAATCAGGGTTTCAAGCTCCAGAAGAGGAGACATGTTTGAATAAAAATCTAGAGGTCCAATCAAGTCATTTGCTCAACTTAGTTGCTGAAGATATACAAGGTGAGTTACCTAGTGCAACAATGAAAAATCAAGAAGAAGAGGTAAACACTTTACTCTTGGAGATTGAAGGACAATTTGAAGAAGTGGAAAACATGCCTGCAGAAGCTAAACAAGAGGATGTCCCTAAGGAGGAAGAGGAAAAAGCTCAAGTGTCATTTGAAGTGTTCAATGGGGAGTCTCCTTTAACCAAATCTAATTTTAATGATTATTTTG